TTAGCACTGTGATGAAATGAGGCTGTTGCTTGATCTTTTTGACAAAGCTTTGTCTTATAAAAATGTTAAAAATCTAATAAGAATGCTTAAATGATGTCCTCTTTGGTTAAAATTCTGAACCTAATTCCCAATAGGTAGAGAAAGCCAAAACTAGACTTAAACCTTCTTACTTAAAAGAGGAGAAATGATCCCTAACATCTTGAGTATGTTACAGAAAAGACAAGTTAATTTCTTGAAACCCCCTGTAGTGGGAGAGTTGCTTTCTATGGAGAACCAAAACCAAGTTAGATTGTGTGAATCTGCTCTGTTGCTTGTTCCTTAGCTCTGCTCATCGTTTGCAGCTCTAAACTTGCCAGTATTAGAAGGAAGCCTAAGTCAAGAATCATTTGTTCTGTGGTATTAGAACAATTGTTCCTATTGCAATGTCAGAAGCTTAGGCAAGCTGGCTGTAGAGTGTAGCCAATCTCAATGATTATTAAAGAATAGTGTGGAAATTAAATTTGATTGGCTTTCCTCCTGCATGGTCATATATTTTTTTCCCTTTCTTTGTTACTGAATTTACCCCTCTATTGCATTTTTTATGTTGACATGTTCCTGTTGTTTTATCCAGGTAAAGTCGATTTCTATTTTGATTCATATGCTTGCTGAGATTCTGATTGTGAAGATTACTTCAGGGTCAATGGGGGTTAGGTTTCCTTAATTTTTTGTTAGGAAATGCATACTTTTTTCTTTCCAACGCATGTGAAAGATCTATATTTTTATTCAGTGAGATTTATCTTTAAATATAAAAATTTGTTTGTGGTATTTGACTAGATTTTTCACATAGATCCTACCCCTTCTCAAGATAACACTCCCATGCGTCCTGAAAGGTTCATAGAAAATTCTGTACATGACAAAGTTCGTGGTGTGGATGATGAACCTTCACCAAATGATATGAAAAAACAACTAATTGAGCTCTTTTGTGAGGGCTTCAACAGTACTGCCTCTATGAATGTTGATCAAAATTTAGGTCAGCCAGAAGACAAACTTGCAAACCTTGCCCAACCTGAAAGATCTACCATGAAAAGCTTAGCTGCATCAATACCAAACTCCACACCTAGTGGTGAAATAACTCCATATAGAGGATCCATACCCAAAAATGAGAAATCAAACCAGTCTACACAATGCTGCCTTCCAGGTTTGGTGTGAAGCCTGAGCTTTGGTGAGAGAAAGCGGTTGAACCCTCGCAAAACTAATGGTTTGTAAGCCAAATGTTTATGTTGTATGAATCCTTTTAGAATTTCACACTTCAGAATTACCATTTTGGTAAGAAAGCCAAAATCTCAATTTTTTTCTCTTCTTTTCACTATAGTTTCTCGTCAAAGTAACATATAATCTACTCTAATAGTGCTGCTACATCTATAAAATGGGATAGAAGAAAACTTTGTATATTTATTATGTTTTTCTTACAGTTGATTCGTGCTTCATGATCTGTAGAAGTCTATAGAACTTGGGCTTCAACATGCAAACTGTCCTTTCTATTCAGAACATAGTGTCTCAAAGGGTGTAGGAGCTGATCAATTCTAAAGGAAAATGTAATAAATCATACTCTTTATGGAGAGATAGAAAATGAAATCTCTTTAGAACATTAGGAGATGAAAGCTAATAAATACAAGGCCAGTGGTAAACCCTTGGAATGGTAGGGAAAACAATGACTGTAAAATTTCAAGGTTTTTTAGCTTCTGATTAAAACCTTTTGTCATGCTTTTTTTTTTTTGGGGGGAAGAAATTGAAGTATGTTCATCAATAAAATTTAGGTTATAAGCTTTTATTGAATCACAACCACATAGAACATCAATTTTCATTGATCGAAATAAAATAAACAAGACAACTTCTTTGGGTCACCAATAACTCTCAAGAGCGTGCAACAATTGATTGAAAATACTCACATTCCATGACAACAGAAGTAATAAACTCTATTATTATTGGAAACACAAGATAAACATCCACCAAACTGATTTGACTTCATAATTCAAAGCCTCCTAAGTAGAAACTGCACATCTCATGGCTACACAAATGGCAGTTTTGGAGTAGTAAC